TTGCTTGCATAGGGACTATGAAACGGGATACATTTGTGTTTGGCATTTTGTCAACGCCAGAGTACATATAACCTTAATGAAATGATGCCTTCTATTCTAGTCACAAACCACATGCGCCTATTAAGTGGGTGTAGGTAGAACCGAAGAGAGCGTTTCAGGTACAGCGACGAAAAAGGAAGCTACTCGCAGTTGTTGACGGTACCGTCGGTCTTCAGCTCGTGCCCTTTGGCCCGGTGGAGAGGATTCCCACGCCCTGCTACAAGGACCTATCCGCGTGGCCAGAAGGAGCCGGAGGAATCGGCCCCCGGTTACACATTGTGTTTCCTTTTGAAACGGCGATCCTAGTGAAGAGCCGCAGCCCCCACGTAGAGCATTCAGGGTTAAAGAGCACCAGTGGAAAGCAGCTCACAGATCTGTGCCTAAGGGCAACGAGCTTCTCAGAGCCGGCGCCTCGGGGAGAGAAAGCTAAGCCAGCATAAGCTGCTACCATCTGCTGGCATTGGCTTAGGGCTGCTGAAAGATCAAGTTTGAAAGTAAGCGAGGTGCGCAAGAGGAGAAGTCTCTTTTTCTTCTTCCATCTCTCTTCTCTCTCAGTAGTCACTTCCAGATGGAAATGAAGCTCTCCGGTAATTGATCTTTAACCGCATGGGTGTTGCAGCATCCACGAGGAGGATAAAGCTGAAAACTTGGTGTTTGTGCGTGCGTGGTTAGAAGACCTACTGGGCTCCGACTCGGTGTGTCTGTCCTCTCCGCCGAGCTCTCCTTTGTACCTTCTCTCGGTGTCTGAGATTATTGGCAGAGGAAATCGAGCTCGCGTCAGCCCCCCCCCCCCCCCCCACTGCCAGATGATCAATCAAACACTGATCGGCTGGCTTTTTTTTAAACTGGAACAAGCGGAGCCTTCTCACAAGTTAACACAGGTGGAGACAAGAAGTTTTGGTATCCTCGGATGTGGGGTTTTTCCCTGGCTGCTCTGCCAAGCTAACCGGCTTCGTGGAAAGGAAGAGGAAGCCATAAACATGTAATTTTATGTCTGCGTTCCGGATGGAGTGTAGCTTTTACCCACTAATTCTCATTGACTATATATATCAGCTGTAATAGCGTCAAAATCTTTGTTCAATACCGTTGTCCTGAAGCACCTGTTTTTTTTTAATATTGGACATGAAGTTGATTCATTTAAAAAGTTCCAATACATCAGTTCGCATCATTAAAAAAAACCACTGAGACACTTTAAAGCCTTTTTTTGTGACAGATGTTAGCAGTTCAGTAGTGATGTTGTAAAACGAAATCCCTTTTGCTGAGACAAAAAGCACGTGGCTCACTCATGCAGAGCAGGGGCCCCCGAGCAGAACAGCCGGAATGTTCCTTTGGCTTTGAAAAACAACAAAAAAAAGAGTGGATTACCCTCATTTTAACAACCGTGTTCAGATTGAGCTATGACTGTTTTCATTACGGTTACGGCGTGTTCTTTTGTCCTTTTTGTGTTGCATCGTTTCTTCTTTTTCTATCGCTTTGAGTCTTCACCTTTGACCCTCAGTTCTCTAACACGGCCACGCGGATGCAGTCACGTCTTTTAGCTGGAGGTTTTACTAGTTGTTGACTCTGAAGCGATCCAATAGCTCTCGCCGCTCACTGAGCCGCGGACCAGAGTTCTCACTCCGTGTCGTCCTCCAGCTCACCCTCCTCAGATCATTAATCACCGCTTGGAAAGTAAAGGGTGGGATGGAGGCTGGAGGCCGTGGGTCAGTCCAGCTCGTAAGTCCCTGGCTGGTGTCATTATTCTGACGCCGTTGTGAGGGCGAGAGCTTTTGATGCTATTGATTTGGGAGGGTGGCGAAGGAATGGCGAGATCGATGCGCTCGCTGATTCATTGGTGGGGCAAACCCGCCTGAACAGCCCACTTTTTTTTTTCATATGGGAGTTAATGAAAAGTGTATAAGTGAACAGTGTGTGACAACGCCGGTCCGCCCTGGTCCAGTTAATAGATTAGTATGTGGGAAAGTCACAGCTTCACATTTACAAAGATACACAAAGATCACATTTCTGAAAATGTACTTTTGAAATTGTCATTTCTGAGTAATATTCAAATGTAACTATTAGAACAAATTCTAATATAATCCGTCCCAACAAGATCCAGACAATAACCTGGTGTCTTCCAGGGCGTCTCTGACACCCATCTTCATTCTGTATAGATGTCGTACTTGTAGGTCTTTGTGCAGCAGCGAGGCAGAGTGGGGTTTCTTTTTTGGTTACAAAATACAACAGTTTCTATTTCTAGGCAGCAGTGGATTTTTTCAACACAAAGGCCGGACCCAGATTAGTTTAGTTCACTCTCGACTACGAACCGCCCAACAAACAGCTGGTTTTTCCCTAATACACTGCCATGTAGTCTGTAGTGTATTATATTACAGTAGAATATTACAGTATGGATCCAAAATGAGACCTGACAGAAGCAAAAAGTCACCATTAGAAATCGTTCTGTGACTTCAGCACCACGGACAGCGTCATCAATTTATCATTACGCACTAGTTCGGCTATTGACATTTTAGAGACATGGCTGGTGCCATAACGGTCACCTTCCACAAACGTCAGTGAAATAGAGGGTCAAAAAGTCAGGCGGACTAGACCAACATATTCTCCTTAACAATTTGTCGGCCCCTGCACTATTTCTGCTTGCGGAATGGCAAGAAACCTCAAATTACCGGCTGACTTTGGGGATAGAATATTCTGTCAGTCCATCACTTTGGACCGGAATGAAATATCTCCACAACCACAGGAGGGTTTACTGTTAAAGACGTTCAGACATCTTTGGCTTCCAGATGATGAATGACTCCTTTTTTTTTTTTTTTTTTTGATGAATCTACTTTGGCATCGTTTTCGGATTGACATTTTTGGCCTAAAGTGGAGTGTTTCCAAAACCGGCTAAACAGCAAGGTTAGCATTGCCATTTTAGCTATGATAGCACGCTGACATTTAGCTCAAACAAAGCAGATCAGTTTATTACTTAAGAGTAGTGTCACGTGTTGGGAGACCTTCCTAAAACTTTTGTTACAGGGCGTCATATCTCACATCTAGTGTGATATTCCTCAAGTGGGTGCGAAGTTGTTTTAAGTCGTGAATTTTTTGTGAAGTATAAAAGAGGTGTACCTATTATGTCCCTTTGTGTTATGTGCTGAACTTCCTCATGCCAGTTCTTTACAATCTGTGCGCAAAATGGTCGTAAAGTCTTCCCATGCACGTTTACATGTTGCTAACGTGCCCTCAGCAAACAAAAACACAGGCATTGGAGAAAGATGGATCGAGATGCGATTAATCCAGTTAACTTTTGCAGTCAGATATTTTCTCTTTAATGTGTTTATCATGACTTATGAGTTTCTCTATAGCAGCCATTAACATATGATTGCCATCACAGGGCTAATGGGTTTGTCTGTCGTTTCCCCTCCTGCTCTACGGCTTCATCCACTTTCCTAAATCCATCTACATCTTTTATCTTTTAAGCATTTGCTTCCTTCCAATCTCTGTCCTGCTCTCCGTCATTCTCTCCCTCTCTCTCTCTCTCTCTCTCTCACGCCTCCTCTCCTCAGTGTGTCTCCTCTCACGGCCCCGCGGCCCCTCGTCTCCTAAGCCAGAACCTCACTCCCACGCAATGCTCTCCCTTATTGCCTAATTATCTCTGGCCTGTCATTTCAATAATGTGCTGGTGCTAATTCTCAATCTTTCCACTTTTCCCACTCGTCTTTCAAATGCACTTTTCTATTAAATTCAAGTACTTCAAGTCTTCTTCTCTATCTCCCCCCTCTGCTGCTTCTGCTCCTTCTCTGTTGTTTCTGCGGTGTTGGAAGACTTGTTTTGGCATTCTTATGTGCCTCCTCAAAGCCCATTGACTCCCCTCTTCTGCTGATTCATATATAAATCAAACTGTCGGCAGTATGAGAGCAGGCTTGAAATCCGGGTCATGTCAGCCGATCCGTTTGATGCCCACATCGCCCAAAACGGATGTTTGCATCAACATGCTACTTTCCGGAATTGCCTAATGATTGTCATCGGTGCATTGGAAGTAATACTTAATAACTTGATCTCTGCATCTTCATCTCTGCCAGCACAAAAGCAGTTTTTGGCGTTCCAGGGATTCGTCTTCGAATCCTTGGAACGCCATTCCAGCCATTGGGGGAATCAATAATACAGAGCCGGCATTTGTTTGTGTTACGGTGTGTGTTCGTTTCGGTTTGTAAGTCATCTATCCGATGCAAACAGCTTTTTAATGTACGAGCTGTGTGGTAGAAAATGGATTTGTGCCGTCGTCACGGTTTCCGCTGCATCAAATACCACAACACTTTATTGTTAAAAAGCCTAGGCTTTGATTTTGAAACTAATGCCAATTCTGAAAGTTCCTGTATGAATCCCAATAGAGCCGAGTTGTGCGTCACATCAAACACACATAAATCTCACCCCCGTATACCGTAGTGTTGTGAAGGAAATCGCTTTGTTCTGGGTTGCTGAAATATAAAATCATGACTTGCTCCCCTAACATTTTTGTTGTTGTTGAGTTCTTGCTTCATTCTTGTTATTTTAGGCTCCGGTCAATAACCAGTCCCATTCAACATCTGACTCTGCTTCACAACAGCTTAGTCAGTGCACAATAGGAATCAATACCACCAATGGCTCGTTCCCTTCCCTGCCTTTATGACTTAAATAAACCCCGGAGGGCAGTTTTGAAAAGGAATTGTCTACACGTCAAAAGTCATTACCAGCATTTTGGGCATTTGGGTGGTATTAGTCTGGTCAATACACATTCGTGGAAAGCCAAGAAACAACAACCTCACACATCGCTTTAATTCAGGTGTAGTTTAAATGTCCGTTCGTAACTAGTAGAACACGACGCGTGCATCGTAAACACAGTCCAGTGCATGCTTCATGAATCAGTTGCACTTATTATCAGTCGTTTTGGACAGAAGTGTTTGGCTCGTTTGAAAGTAAGTGTTTCCTGTCTGTTTTTGCAGGGTTGGTCAAGCTGGGGATCCACTGTGTAACGTGCCAGAAAGTCGCCATAAAGATTGTCAACCGTGAGAAACTCAGTGAGTCGGTACTAATGAAGGTAAGTTTGCAGCTTCCAGGTATTTTAGTAACTTTCAGGTTTATAATTAGGCTTTTGGAAAGGTTTTACTCAGCGTAACCCTTTTGTCTCCTCATCTATTCAAAAGACCATTTCACTTTTTATTTTATTACTTAAATTTTTCCATGTACTCTATGTATGTGAATAACGCAATTGCTTGTGAAACAAGCCCTTTTAAGGTCTGTCTACCTCTTAGTTTGTGCAAAGGTGGGACATGTTTTGCTCGCCTAATGTTTCTAACCCCCCACTGTCCCTGTTTAAGTCTGGCTGGCGACCTTCAATAAACAACATGCAGCCGACAGGCTGACTGAAGCAATGCTAAGGGTAGAACTGCAACTGAATAGTAATGCACCTCAGCCACTCTCTGGACTCTGAGTCTGGGCTGATGTTTGGAGCTGCAAGTGTGGGTTTGAAATGCTTTACTAAAATCAACGGCTGGTCTTGAGAAGAAGTGAATTGAATGTGAGCGATCTCCACCATGCTCCGGCTCACGGAGACTCCAGCAGCCGGCTGCTTAGCTTCCCTGCCGGCAGCCTCCAAGAATATTTGGGGTAACAAAACAATAAAGCTGCTTTTTCGCAAATACAATTTCTTTCTACCGTCACTTCAACATGCTTCAAATTCCTCTGCGTGAGACACTCAGTTACAGAGTTATAATGTTGCTGTTCCCACACAACCTGGATTTGAAGGATTCAGCGGGGATTTGTTTTCCTATTATGTCCCAGGGCTCTTGCTGGGCAGCCCTATTCATTGCCTGCACAAAATTGGCGTGCTGCAAAATTGGGCCTCGTGTTGACGGAATAGCTGTAAAGAAAGCGAAGAGAGCTGGAAGATAAAGGACAACAAGATGCTATTACCTTTTAAATTGTCTTTCAAAGGACACATGCAGAGAGGAGCGCCTCCTCTAATTGTTTGCCTATGAGCGGGAAAGCAGGGAGCGGATTTCTCTTCTCACACTACAGGTTATCTGCGACTGGGAAAACCCTTCCGCTTTGCATCACTTCTGCCGCAGCATCATTAGACTTTAGATGAACAAGCTCTCCGCGCTGGAATATTGCTGTTTGATAAACCGTCTGGTATTAATCCGCTTCTCGCTGTGTCAGTGCCTCTGACTTTTTCTCAGCCATTGCTGTCTTGCTCTCAAATTCACTTTTTTTTATATCTCTTTCTATTTGGCCCCACGTGCAGTCTAATATAATTATATAAATACGTATTAATATTGGTCGCTGTAGTTGGTGGATCCAATGGAACGTGTGCCAGCAGAGAGGACGGTAGTGACGTAATGTCCCGACCCAGGTGTTGCGCATTGTGTTGTCCAGCAGAGGAAAATGAACAGATGCCAAACACTGACAAGCTTTTGCTGAGGTAGCATTTCAGAGCCAATTACTGAACTCAAACATTGTCCCTCATGTCTTGTGTGTGTGTGTGTGTGTACATGCACAGGAACAACTGAATTCCATTAAATATTTGTCTTCTAAGTTTGGGATTGGATGCCAAAATCTATGATCTGTCACCAACATTTCCTCTGCAGAGTGCGTGATGAGCAGTGCCTGTATGGAAATGGTGCGTGTAGTTGATGCACTGTACTACATTTCTTTTGTGTCAGCAGTTCCGTGTGTTTATTTCTTTGTGTATTGATTGGATCATTAGCCTCTGTAAAAAGCAGCTTACGGCTTCAATTTAGGTGTCAATGTTCTTCTCACCTGTGTGTAATTTGTTATCAGGTACGACCCGTTTAGACCGCCTGCTGGTCGGGCCACTGGTGAAGTTCTTTCTGGTTTCAACGACACACTAAACATAACGGTGGTTTTGCTGCAGAGGCTGGACAGGTTTTCCTCGAATCCAGCACTGCACAGTCTTGTGTGTCAGCTCTCCTTCCTGGCCGTGTGGCAGTCAGACTGTCAGGTGCAGCCCTCCACTGCAACACTCACTGTGACTGTGAAATGTCACCTTTTTAATATGCTAATGGTTTGAGTCCCTGTGGTGCCATTAGGGAAAAGTCTGACTCTCCTGGACAGGTGTGTGTGCCGTTGACGACACACATATACATGCACGTATGCACGCGGGCCTTACACACAGAAGAGGATGTATTGAGGCGTGTGCGTGTGTCATATGGACACACACACACGCACATACTCGTTTGTATTGCGTAGGCATATCCTCCGTGACACATGTCATCCTTGTATGTCTGTCTCCCCCCCCCCCGACCGACCTTGGTTGTCAGGGGGTCTGTGGCCAAGAGGAGACAGGTTAAATTAAAACTTTGTATAACTAGTATTGAACTCTTTAGTCCACGGCCCCTCAGGCTGGACCAGACAGACACTGAATTTTCTCGGATAATGAATTTGTCTATGAACTTTGTCCGTTTGTCACCAGGGAATGAGCCTTGAATACTTCAAAGAGCAAGTGCAGCCCAATGTTTTTATTTTATTTTTATTTTTTTACCACTTCCAAGATTGGAGTTGGCTGAATGGGAAGTGGCTGCCTGTCGGTGTTTCAAGTGATGATAGAGAAAACGACAGAAAGGGAATACAAAGTATGTGCACGTATGTCGTGCACATATTGGCACAGAGGGCAGACTGGAGACAATCTGATACAAAGAGAAGCCCAGGACCAACAACGTATGTGAGAGAGAGAAACCCTGCTGAGAGAAGAGGGTTTTGTATGTTCACCACGTCTCTTTCCCGTCAGGAGTGAGTGCATTTGTTCTTGAACTCTTGTTAATGTGACATTCACAAATATTGGGCCAATACAAACTGAAAAATCACAAAGAACAGTTCAATTGGACCCATAAATTGCAGAATTGTATCGTTTGTAGACTTCCACCAAATGCCAGCACATTCTTGGAAATAGAACTTTTTACAAAGAAATATGACAAACACTATAATTGCTGCTGACGGGAGATTGTTGTGGAATAAAACCTGAGCCTCATGTATGAAAATACAATTCAGAGCCCCGGTTAAAAGTACCAATACATTCCCAGCATTTTGGAACCAGTACAACGATTGTTATTTTAGGTACTTCATTTTGGGAAATGTTTTTTTTTTTAATAAAATGTTAAATGCCAATTGAAGCAGCCATATTTTAGGAAATTTGACTCCATGAAATGGAACTAAAACTGTTATTTTTTTAAAATCCAGAATAATCGTATTAATAAAAACAATATGAGCAATCGGATCAGAAAAAGTATTACAATGCTCAGTCCTACTAATAAAGCAGGTTAACACGTATCAATAATTTGGATGCAACCTAAAGTGACCTTCAGAAGTATTTGAGATGCTCATTTAGTTACTTTCAAGTACTTGTATAATATAGTTTTTCCTCTGCATCTGTCACTTCCAATGCATTTGAGCTTACACTGTTCCTCGTTGGGCATAATGTTATTCTTCTGCGTAATGAGCTTGTGTTTGCATTGCTGCACAGAACCTACTGTGAAAACCGCTGTGAAGACGGTCTTACTAATGACGATGACATGGTGGAAATCATTTTATTTAATCTCGCCACCACTGCAGTCAACTATAATCTGACATGCTTTCCCGGAGAGCACAGCACACTCTGTACCATATGTTATACTACATATTACTATAACACTATATTATCATTATATGCTGATTGGAGCAACTTCACTAATCCACAGTTTAGTCCCGGGTGGAGTTAAATTCTTTGCTAGCCGCTAGCAGTGGGATCAGTGTATCTTTAGCGTGCAGTCGTTACTGTTGATGCTGCTCTGTTTCTCCCTCTGAGCCGGTGAGCCGGTGGCTGCTGCTGCTTCTGGGATAAGGACAACTAATTAGTTACTCTCTCTCCTCCTGAAGCAGCACAACTTCAAAGTCACTCCACTGTCCCCGAGCCCAGTGAGGGAAAGGAAGAGGCGGCACGGAGTGCAGGAGGAAGAGAGATAGAGGGCAGCGCTGCGTGTTTGTGTGTGTGTGTGTGTGTGTGTGTGTGCATGAGGATTTAGAAAAGGTGGTTTCCACATAATCTCGACACTTTGGATAACGGTGTTGTGAAGTAGACATCGCTGCACAGCTCCACTGTTCCTGGTGGGGTGTTTCAGTGCGGTGAGGTTACTCGTGGTTCGCTAACTGCCCTTGATGTCAGTCATAACATTTCAGATGAGAAAAAATGTGCGTGTGTGTGTGTGTGTGTGTGTGTGTGTGTGTGTGTCTGCGAGCGAAAAGGAGAGTTTGGAGATGGAAAAGGCCGCAGTATAATTGCCCCCTGAAGCAAATAATTGAAGTGCTGAGGACATTGCATCTGAGAAGGGAGAACAAGCAGCCAGCACCACAACCAGGGCACACAGCCACATCACCTGGGCCGGCTTGGAGTACAAGGACACAGACTTTTCTCTCATTAACTAACAACATCAGCGCTGTCTGAACGTGATTTGTGATGTGACGCACAGCATCTAAGATAATAATTTTAGGACTAGAAAAAGCAGCGAAAAGCGAGATACAAAAGGTTGAGCACAGCAACCGCCAGGAATTGTGGTGGGCGGGCGAGGAGCAGAAAGCCACGGCGGCGGATGAATCATACAAGGTCTAATCTTGTTATCCCGACACCTCACCGACAGCACAGTGGCTTTCTTTCTCTGCCACGGCTACTCTTCCCCCTCCTAATGATTACAGATTGGACATTGTCTCCCAGTTCTGTTGTGCCGCTTGTGGGTTGGTTACAGGCCCCCAACACGCACATGTTTAACTTTGTGCCGTGCGCAATAGGCCTCGGCGTGTCTTTTGTGCGCGTGTGTCTGTGCCGCTGCAGAGACGACGCCGACGCCCCTTGAAATAAATGGGTTTCATATGTTGTGCCCCCTGCGTGTTGATCCATCATGGTGCTGAGCCAGAAGCCAGGGCTTAGCACACAGTTGGATCTTAACAGGCTGACTGCAAAGAATTACCAGCTGTGCTTCTCCTTTTCCCCCCGTTCTGCCTGTCGAATGACTGCTTAGTGTAGATCTTTCTTTGTCCTTTTTTTTTTTT